TTTCCCCCTGGATGGGGATTTGAGCCCCAAAAAGCCGGACATGTCCGGGAAAATCCGGACGTATGGTAACCCTAATGAGTTAGGTTTTCACCATTTCCTTAGCTACCAACTGGCTTGTATAAAATAGGTCTCTCATTTGTTTCTGGTGTCATCTTAAAGTACAGTATATGCTAGTTGAGACCTCTCTGAAAAATCATATTTGTAAAATTGTTGGTAGAAAGGTTGTAATTCTTAACTTAAATTCAGACAAACTTATTTAATTGGATAAATGCAACTTCAAAATTAATCCATTATATATTTTCTAATAGGCTTAAGAAAGTGTCATGATGAAGCACCTACAGTAGACAGTCCTGGCTTAATTGACCATGAGAACAGAGATGATATTGGTCTGAATCTGGGGATGGGAAAATGGTTAAATGACTCTTAGTTTGAGGGACTGTAGATTGAATTGAGTAGTTTTGGCTAGCAGACAACTTAGGCATAGTTTTTTCCCCTTCTGTGGAAGGACCTCACCCATGAGCTTATATCCACACCATTTGTTTGTTTGGGAGCATGAGTGTGTTCTGAATTGCAATTGGAATGGTTAAAGGGGATTTCGAGACTTCTAGAACCAGTCTCTCCCCTGAAGCAGCTCCTTTGTTTCTCTTGGGCAGTAGCTGGCTGGAAAAGAACCATAGCTGTCATGTGTCTGCCCCCCCCATTCCCCCGATGCATGTGATAGGTTAAGGGCAGAGGTAGACTGCAGCTGCTCTTCACCAATTCAGTTGAAATATGCTCCTTTAGGATTCATAGCCAACTGATGAAAGGTAGAGCAGTCCTTAAACTGCTAAACTATGCTAGGGCTGGTGCAAATCGACCCACAGGAGCAGGGAGCTGTAACCAGCACCCTGACAGTGCTCCCTGCCATGTTCCTGTGCTGAGAATGTGGCCTGGGCTCCTTGTTGCAAGAGAGATGAGAACACTCAGGATATTCTTTCCAAGTCTATTCACACTAGGTACAAAATTCCTGTTCTTAGGCAGTTCCGCTTTCAGAGCTCCGGCTGCAACCATTTTCAGGACATTTAGCCCACAGCAGCTTTTTTCTGCTTTCCATGCAAAGTGTGTGTGTGTGTGTGTGTGTGTGTGTGTGTGTGAGATAATGCTTGCCCCCAAAGTATAAGGTAAACACTCCTTTTGTGTTTGAATGGATGTTGAGAAATAGTTTTTCCCATTTGGCCGCAGTAACCAGTCTGTGGGAAATTGAGCAAATCAGTTTGCCAATCCATCTTTGTTTGACCTGCTAACAAAACGCGAACCACTTCAACTTACTACACTTTGAAAAGGATCTTCTGCTTTTGGACACAAAATGTGTCACACATGATTGAGCTAATCCATCCAAGTGTCTACATTATATTGATAATCCTAGCCATTCACTGGAGGTGACAGAGGGAGGGAGAATGAAATGATAAATCCAGCTGAAAAACCCAGGAGAGGTGAAGAGTACAGTACTCCTTAGAATAAACTATAGAAAATTATGTGCATTAACTGTACTCTGTGTTCAGCTATAACAGTGGGGGATGCCCCTTAAATAGTTGAGATTTGTAGGCATACCTGTTTTGTCCATTCTTTTATCACTTTTACCATAACAGTTATCAAAGACTTGGAGAAGGAGCCAGAAAGCATGCTGGCCAAATACTAAGAATTGGTGTAAAGGAACCTCTTTTCATTTTATTCCAAAGAGATTTATGGGGTTGGCAAGAAAGAATTCATATTTTAAATTAAATAGATGTTTGGATTAAGATGGAAATACATGAAGGAAAGACAGGAAAGAAGCTATAATAGTATTGACATTTGTCAGAGGAGTACTTCTACTGAGAAACAGTTGAACAGTATATCTGTGTTTTTCACTGGATTTCAGTTATAAATACAAATGTTGGGCAAAGTAGCTGAATGAGGACTTCTTGATGATTTGCAAAAGTCTTTCAGATGAATATTCTAGTATAGGGCTAGCTTATCATGGCTGTGATGTCCAAAAATAGATTCCTAAAGTTAGGCTTCTAACTCCTTACTCAGGCTCATAAAAGTTTGACCTGAGTTTCAAAAGTGCTAAGTACCCAATAGCTTTCAGTGACTTCAGTGTGAGGTTCTGGGTTCTCAGTATCTTTAAATAAGTGACTTTATTTTCAGGTAAGTAAATTTAGGCTCCTGTTTTTGAAAATCTTGTTCCCTGATGTTTGGTGATTTACACAATCAGTCCATAATACTCACCTAAACATTTTAGAGAGAGTTAACCAGAGAAAAATATTCATTCAGAAATTAATAAAAACGAGTTTCACTTGACAAAGCTTGGGTTTTGGGTTTGAGCCACATTATTGTTGCTCAAAAGTTGGGGCAGGAGCATAAATCCGTGATTTTCCTTTGGGCCCATCCCTAGAAAAGAGACAATTGCAGTAGAACCTCAGAGTTATGAACACCTTGGGAATGGAGGTTGTTTGTAACTCTGAAATGTTCGTAACTCTGAACAAAATATTATGGTTCTTTCAAAACTTTACAACAGAACATTGACTTACTACAGCTTTGCAGCTTTACTTTGAAACTTTACTATGCAGAAAAAAAATGCTGCTTTCCCTTTATTATTTTAATAGTTTACCTTTAACACAGTTCTGTACTGTTTGCTTTTTTAAAATATTCTTTTTGTCTCTTCTGCTGCCTGATTGTGTACTTCCGGTTCCAAATGAGGTGTGTGGTTGACTGGTCAGTTCATAACTCTGGTGTTTGTAACTCTGAGTTTCTACTGTAACTATGGAAATTTTTCTTGTAAGAAATACACTCTGATCAGGTTATTTTTCTTGTAAGAAATACACTCTGAGCAGGTTATGTGCTTTCTTAAGTTTATATGCATGTAGATGGCATTCCAATCTCTTGTGGAAGAAAAAGCAGAAAATTATATCATTAATATATACTTTAAATATCTTGAATGAATTTGGCTGTGGAATGGGTGAATCAATTTAATTTTCTACTGTTTCATTTAACGTGTTATTTTGGAAAAAGTTCACTATAGAAAGTGTTGTTAAAGTTTGCAAGTGTAGTTCAGTTGTAAAGTCATCCGTAGTAATAAGATGTAATTTCAGAGCATTGACGCACCTGTGGAAGTTTTTAAAAAACCAAGTACATGCTCTAGTTTTAACATATCTCATTTTTCTTGTTGCATCTGTGACGGGTTGGATCACAGAAAACCCCTTGGGCACTGCCAACTGATGTGCTGAGACTACTTCTAACCCGCTTCCCCTGGCAGCTTGGGACGTCAGTGCCATGCCTGGTTTGAGCCAGACACACTAGCCTGCTGCAGACCCAGACCCAGGTCTGAACCAGGTCCCCCAAAAGCTGCAGGCTTAACTGAAAACAGCTTAAGAGTGGGGTCCAAACCCTAAATAAATCTGTTTTATCTGTATAAAGCTTATGCAGGGTAAACTCATAAATTGCTCGCCCTCCATAACACTGATAGATATGCACAGTTGTTTGTCCCCCTTCCCCAAGGTATTAATACATACTCTGGGTTAATTAATAAGTAAAAAGTGATTTTATTAAATACAAAAAGTAGGATTTAAGTGGTTCCAAGTAATAACAGACAGAACAAAGTGAATTACATAAGAACATAAGAAAGGCCGTACCGGGTCAGACCAAAGGTCCATCTAGCCCAGTATCCTGTCTACTGACAGTGGCCAATGCCAGGTGCCCCAGAGGGAGTGAACCTAACAGGCAATGATCAAGTGATCTCTCTCCTGCCATCCATCTCCACCCTCTGACAGACAGAGGCTAGGGACACCATTCCTTACCCGTCCTGGCTAATAGCCATGAATGGACTTAACCACCATGAGTTTATCCAGTTCTCTTTTAAACTCTGTTATAGTCCTAGCCTTCACAACCTCCTCAGGTAAGGAGTTCCACAAGTTGACTGTGCGCTGCGTGAAGAAGAACTTCCTTTTATTTGTTTTAAACCTGCTGCCTATTAATTTCATTTGATGACCCCCAGTTCTTGTATTATGGGAATAAGTAAATAACTTTTCCTTAACCACTTTCTCCACATCACTCATGATTTTATATACCTCTATCATATCCCCCCTTAGTCTCCTCTTTTCCAAGCTGAAAAGTCCTAGCCTCTTTAATCTCTCCTCATATGGGACCTGTTCCAAACCCTTAATCATTTTAGTTGCCATTTTCTGAACCTTTTCTAGTGCCAGTATATCTTTTTTTAAATGAGGAGACCACATCTGTACGCAGTATTCGAGATGAGGGAATACCATCGATTTATATAAGGGCAATAATATATTCTCAGTCTTATTCTCTATCCCCTTTTTTAATGATTCCTAACATCCTGTTTGCTTTTTTGACTGCCTCTGCACACTGCGTGGACATTTTCAGAGAACTATCCACGATGACTCCAAGATCTCTTTCCTGACTTGTTGTAGCTAAATTAGCCCCCATCATATTGTATGTATAGTTGGGGTTATTTTTTTGCAATGTGCATTACTTTACATTTATCCACATTAAATTTCATTTGCCATTTTTTGCCCAATCACTTAGTTTTGTGAGATCTTTTTGAAGTTCTTCACAGTCTGCTTTGGTCTTAACTATCTTTAGCAGTTTAGTATCCTCTGCAAACTTTGCCACCTCACTGTTTACCCCTTTCTCCAGATCATTATGAATAAGTTGAATAGGATCGGTCCGAGGACTGACCCTTGGGGAACACCACTAGTTACCCCTCTCCATTCTGAGAATTTACCATTAATTCCTACCTTTTGTTTCCTGTCTTTTAACCAGTTCTCAATCCATGAAAGGACCTTCCCTTTTATCCCATGGCAGCTTAATTTACATAAGATCCTTTGGTGGGAGACCTTGTCAAAGGCTTTCTGGAAATCTAAGTACACTATGTCCACTGGATCCCCCTTGTCCACATGTTTGTTGACCCCTTCAAAGAATTCTAATAGATTAGTAAAACATCATTTCCCTGAACAGAAACCATGTTGACTATTGCTCAACAGTTTGTTTTTCTATGTGTCGGACAATTTTATTCTTAACTATTGTTTCGACTAATTTGCCTGGTACAGTCGTTAGACTTACCGGTCTGTAATTGCTGGGATCACCTCTAGTGCCCTTTTTAAATATTGGCGTTACATTAGCTAACTTCCAGTCATTGGGTACAGAAGCCGATTTAAAGGACAGGTTACAAACCTTAGTTAACAGTTCCGCAACTTCACATTTGAGTTCTTTCAGAACTCTTGGGTGAATGCCATCTGGTCCCGGTGACTTGTTAATGTTAAGTTTATCAATTAATTCCAAAACCACCTCTCTTGACACTTCAATCCATGACAGTTCCTCAGATTTGTCACCTACAGAAGCCAGCTCAGGTTTGGGAATCTCCCTAACATCTTCAGCCGTGAAGACTGAAGCAAAGAATCCATTTAGTTTCTCCGCAATGACTTTATTGTCTTTAAGCGCTCCTTTTGTATCTCGATCATCAAGGGGCCCCACTGGTTGTTTAGCAGGCTTCCTACTTCTGATGTTCTTAAAAAACATTTTGTTATTACCTTTGGAGTTTTTGGCTAGCCGTTCTTCAAACTCCTCTTTGGCTTTTCTTATTACATTCTTGCACTTAATTTGACAGTGTTTATGCTTCTTTCTATTTGCCTCACTAGGATTTGACTTCCACTTTTTAAAGGAAGTCTTTTTATCTCTCACTGCTTCTTTTACATGGTTGTTAAGCCACGGTGGCTCTTTTTTAGTTCTTTTACTGTGTTCCTTAATTTGGGGTATACATTGAAGTTGGGCCTCTATTATGGTGTCTTTTAAAAAGCGCCCATGCAGCTTGCAGGGATTTCATTTTAGTCACTGTACCTTTTAACTTCTGTTTAACTAACCCCCTCATTTTTGCATAGTTCCCCCTTTTGAAATTAAATGCCACAGTGTTGGGCTGTTGAGATGTTCTTCCCACCACAGGGATTACAGTAACCACGGGGGTGTGAGTGATTACCAAGCAAAATAAAATAAAACACGCAAGCCTATGCCTAATACAGTAAGAAGCTTAATACAGATAAAATCTCACCCTCAGAGATGTTCCAGTAAGCCTCTTTTACAGACTAGCCTCCTTCTAGTCAGGGTCCAGCAATCACTCACACCTCCGTGGTTACTGTAATTTGTTCCAGCGTCTTTCAGGTAGCCTCTCCACTCCCAAAGGATATCTCTTGAACTAGCTGAAGACCAAATGGAGGCGTCTCCCAGGGGTTTAAATAGATTTTCTCTTGTGGGTGGACACCCCTCCCTCCCCCTATGTAGAATCCCAGCTACAAGATGGAGTTTTGATGTCACCTGGGCAAGTCACATGTGCATGCACGACTCAGAACTTACAGATAACAGCCATTGTTCACATGCTACCTTGAACGTCCTCAGGTAGACTTCTTATGTGAATTGGAGCCTTCCAAGATCCAATGTCCATTAAGTGTTTCTTGATTGGGCACTTAACTTGCAAATTCCTTTCTAAAGAAGCTGCCCAAACGTCTTACTAAGGCTAGTTAAAATCCAACAAGTATACAGCCAATATTCATAACTTCGAATACAAAAATGATACATGCATACAAATAGGATAAATACATTCAGTAGATCATAACCTTTGCAGGGATATATTACGTGGCATATGTAGCATAAAACATATTCCAGTTATGTCATATTTACATTCATAAGCATATGTCCATAAAGCATTATGGGGTGCAACGTCACATTATCAATCTGCATTTGTGTTTACTTAATAGATTGTGTGAGATTGCTGCTGACTGCAGAAGCACAAGTTGATGCTGCTGATAAAAATGGTTTTACACCCTTGTGTTCAGCAGTTGCTCAGGGACATTTCAGGTAAGTGACATAAGATTTTTTTTCATGAAACTGTAGTACTCTTTAAGCATTATATTTTTAGCTATAGTTGTGCTTTTATCACATATTGAAAGCAAAATACCCAATCCCATAGTAATGCAACATTATGGTTGAGAATGTAAACAGATCTGTGTGTTTCCCATTGCAGCTTTAATTTGACCACCCACTATGCACATGTACTATTTGTAATTGCACCATGACAATTACAGTTTCCATAGGAACCATGACTTTGAATTTCCTGGCTTTCTTATACACACATTCTCGGCTATAATGTTGTATTAATGTAGGCATTTTCATTCATTTTTTTTATTTGATTTTTCTAAAACAAAAAGGAGAGAGAGCCAAAAAGGAGAGATGAGTCTACACTCAGATAAATAACTTGCATTTATTTTAAATTGTAACGTGAAATTCAAATGCATAAAATGTATTTGAAGTTCAAAAAAAAGTTCTCTTTACACAATGACAGTCATTTAAAATCAAATAGAGTTTAACAAATAAAAAAAGTCTTTAAATAATCTGACTAAAAATTCCTTCCCTTTTCAGTTGCTCGGCTTGCACTACTGAGTGCTGTCATAATTTATTTATTTGTATTGCAGTAGTGCCTAAGAGCCTTAGTCATGGAACTGTATCCCACCATGCAATACAGAACAAAAAGACACTCTCTGCCTCTCCATCATAGTCTTTCACACCCAACAAACTTGTATTTCTAGTGCAAAAATGCCTTTGAGACCTCCCTTCCTGACATAACTGAAAGAAGCAAAAAGAGCACAGTGTTCTTTTACTTTCCATTGCAGGACATTTAGAAGTGGAAATTCTGCCTTTGACTGAGTGTCTCTTCTGACATAACTGTATTGTGTGTACTGCAGATCTTGCCTATTTTTATGCAGCACTTCTTCTTTAAAATGAGAGTGCAAGGAGCATTGAAGATTCTTGCTATATCTAGAGGGTTTTCAGATTCACAAACTCAGGGAGTACCAGGAAATGGATACTCATGGTGGATGGCCTGTAGGGATTCATTAAATTTTCATTTGTTTCTTAGTTTCTTGTTTTTTATTTTGTTTGTTTTTTTAAGGGGAAGATGGAATTTATCCAGACAGGTGTGTACTGAATCTCTAACCTTGTGGTCACATTGCTGCTATCCTTGTTTCCCCAAAATCTCCCTCCCCCCCCACTTTCTCCATCTGCCACACCCACTTATTGTATGTTGTCATAATGTAAAATCATCTTGGCAGGGACTGTCATTAGAGTCCCAGTCCTGAGAACTACTCTACAGATAATAGTGTATCTGGCCAAATGTTACACTATTTCATGTTAAATTTGTAAATTTACAGTAACTAGAGTAGGAGATGCCAGAAAACCCCACCACTTTGCATCCTCTCACTAAAATACATGTAACTTAGATATTTTCTTTTACATATTAAGTTATTTATTTCTGCTACTTACCCTGTCAACACATGGGTAGTTATGGCTCTGTTATACTTGTGGCACAGTAGAGCTTATGCTCTCTCTATCCCTGAGGGCTATTTATAAAGCTTGACATCCCTAAATATTTGCTTCTTCTTCGAGAGATGTCCCTGTGGGTGCTCCACTACAGGTGTTGGTGCGTCCCTGCGCCTTCGCCCGGAGATTTTTGCAGCAGTACTCATAGCGGCCACGCATGCTCAGAATCTGCCCCCCCCCCCCCCGCTGTGACTCCAGGGCAATAGAACGCATGCGCGGCCGGTCTCCTCAGTTCCTTCTCAACCGTCCCCGGCCTGAGACGGAGCTCAGCAGACTCATTAGAGAATCCTTCACTATTGCCTTAATTATCCTTTAGAAACCATTTTTTTCTGTCAGTTTTCTCTGATTAAATAGTTACTTACCCAGTTTACCAAAAAAAAAAAAATTTTTTTCCTGTCAGCCGCGGCTATGCCGGGCTCCACCGGTTTCAAGCGCTGTGCTATTTGTAAGGAAGCTATCCCGTCATCGGACGGGCACTCAAAATGTATAAAATGTTTGGGGGAAGCTCACATTCCCCAAAAATGTGCCCACTGCTCTAAACTCAGCTCCAGGGCACGCAAAGACAGGGAGCTTAAACTCAAACTGCTCCTGCTTCAAAAATCTATCGGGTCAGTTTCAGACCCAGGCATTGAAGCCGGCTCCGCTACCCGACACAGCCCCCCCCCCCTCAAAAAAGCTCAAGAAGTCTATGAAGAAGGGGCACTTTTCCTCACCGAGCAAGGCTAGGAGGCATGCAGTTTCTCCAGGCAGATCAACGATCTCTCTGCCTGTGATCCCTCGCCTCAGCACTTTTCATGAGGCAGGCTC